TCATGTGTTGATGCAAAGATCTGACTATTCATCAAGTGTTTATTGGTTACTTATAGTGAATCAGTGTCTGTGCAATGATCTGGTGATCTAACATCAAAAAGGAAACATTTAAGGTAACACTTGGTGGGGACACAGACAATAAACACCACACGGGTGACTGGTTACTACTCCAAACACATCTGAGAACAAGATTATGTAATCTATTGAGGAAAGTTCCACATAAGGTCCCAGGAAGGAAAACAGTAGGTGTATGATTCTTATGAACTTTGGACTGCTCCATTAAACCAATTGAATTTCAGTACATGGCAAAGGTATTTGCATTCAGTAAAAACCCCAGTAGGAGCCCGGGATTCAGTCCCAAAGTCATCTGAGTTATTTGTCACAAAGAAAAACACCTAGCCACTGCATTAATGTTGCAACAGGAGAAATCACATCAGATTCCACATCGCCATTACAGGATGGCCTTTTAGTGGTTGCAGAGTGCTCTTTTTGCTGTATTACTTTTCTCTGAAATTACATCTTAGATGCCAAGCATTATACTACATTCTGGAATGACAAAGCACCTTCACCATAAGACGTGTTCAGATCAGGGTGCCACATGTAGTGAAATAAAGAGAATGTAATTAGTAGGAGAATAAAGATGTGCCCAACATGCTAAGGGAGCGTCTTCTTTTCAAGGTTAGGAGGCCAGGTGACTAATCTATCTCTTTAAAAATTATTATCATTGGGCCGGGCGCGGTGGCTCAAGCCTGTAATCCCAGCACTTTGGGAGGCCGAGGCGGGTGGATCACGAGGTCAAGAGATCGAGACCAGCCTGGTCAACATGGTGAAACCCCGTCTCTACTAAAACTACAAAAAAATTAGCTGGGCATGGTGGCGCATGCCTGTAATCCCAGCTACTCAGGAGGCTGAGGCAGGAGAATTGCCTGAACCCAGGAGGCGGAGGTTGCGGTGAGCCGAGATCGCGCCATTGCACTCCAGCCTGGGTAACAAGAGCGAAACTCCGTCAAAAAAAAAAAAAAAAAAAAAATTATTATCATTAAAAGAAGTTTTTTTGTGCATGTTATTTTCTCCTTAATATAAAAGGAAGACGTGTTCTCTAGAATCATTGACAGTCAAAAGGGAGACAGTACAAATCACCTGACACTCATTTCTAACAGAGGTCTAGGTTTGGTTTGGGATTACTCACTTTAAAGAAAGAGAGTGACTAAAAACTAAACCAACCAACCAACAAACAAAAAACCAGTGAGTAGATCTTTAGTAAGTCTCTAGTTTTGTTCTAGTTTGCCTCAGCTCACTGTTTTTTGACCTGTTTTGCATTACGTAGATTGCAAGGATAGGCAATCAGGATTCATAGAAATACTAGTATTGGCCAGGTGTGGTGGCTCACGCCTGTAATACCAGCACTTTGGGAGGCCGAGGCAGGAGGGTCATTTGTGGTTAGGAGTTTGAGACCAGTCTGGCCAACATGGTGGAACCCCGTCTCTTCTAAAATAAAAATTAGCCAGGTGTGGTGGTGCATGCTTGTAAATCCCAGCTACTTGGGAGGCTGAGGCAGCAGAATTGCTTGAACCCGGGAGATGGAGATTGCAGTGAGCCAAGATGGTGCCACTGCAGTCTCCAGCCTGCATGACAGAGCCAGACTCTGTCTCAAAAACAAAAAAGAAATACTAGTATTAACTGTAGGTTTCTAAAAACTCTTGGCTGTTTTCTAAGTTTTTCTTCAGTGTTATTTCATGTATTCCCTTTCTTCAAAAGGTCATGAACTTTGATTATGTGAGTCTGGATTCCTGTATAACAATGATTGTGAGTTTGTGGTTTTTGTGAAAAAGAGATTCTTAAAATTAGTATTAAAAGGCTTGTACATTTAAAGTAATGTAAGTTTAGTTAACTATTTTCTGGAAATTCTGGGAGTATTACATTTAAATAATGCTTATTTCTATGAACCAATCAGAAACAGATTGTTTATTTTGAGAGATTCACATTAATTTATTAATATGCTCTGAAGGTAGAAAAATATTTCATATTCAAAGTGAAAGGTAAGGACCTTTCTTTCTCCAGTGCAGATACACAGAGTGTGTTCAGCTTCTGTCCTGCAACTATAGCCATATTCAAACGTGGACACAGGAATGCAAAACCCACTGGTTTTATGCCAAGGAGCTGTTCTTTCCAGTGGACCCAAGACATGTTCTTCTGTGTGTGGTTTTTTTTTTTTTTTTTGAGATGGAGTCTTGCTCTTGTCACCCAGGCTGCGGTGCAGTGGCGCCATCTCAGCTCACTGCAACCTCCTCTTCCTGGGTTCAAGTGATTCTCCTGCCTCAGCCTCCCAAGTAGCTGGGACTACAGGTGCGTGCCACCACACCCGGCTAATTTTTTGTATTTTTAGTAGAGACAGGGTTTCACCATGTTAGCCAGCATGGTGTCAATTTCCTGACCTTGTGATCCGCCCACCTGGGCCTCTCAAAGTGCTGGAATTACAGGCATGAGCCACTGCACCCGGCCTCCAAGACATGTTCTTGTACAAAAACACAGACAGGCAAACAGAAAGTCTAACAAACACATTCTCTGTTGTCTCTCAACCGATTGAGAATAGATCTTATAGAACCAGCATATTATAAATTCTCATCCCAACTAATAACTCTCAATGGTTAGACCATAAAACCAAACTCCATTTATTTCTACTATCAGTGAGGAATTAGAAGTACATATCAGAGCCAAACTTGGTCTCATATCAGAAACAAAATCATAGAAGTAGAAATAAAAATCAGAGGAACTGTCAAAAAGGCAAAGTTCTGTTGCCACTTGGAATTAACCATAGGTGCCAAAAAATCATGTAAATGGACTTAAACAGCTCATGAATTGCATTTCTGAGGCATCACAATTTAATTGGTTCTGGTAGGTGAGTCTGCTTGAGCATCTCAGTGGGACCTCCAAAACTGTTCAAAGTATAATTTAAGAAAAAAATAAAAACATGACTGAAAATTATGCAAAATGTGCAGGTGCCAAGTATTTATTTAACTGATTAATGAGGGAACCAACAAGACGGTAAGCCTGGTTCAGAGAGAGTTGAAGAGAGTGAAGTGTTTACAATTGCTGAAAGAAAGAATGCTTAAGATTCCAATTTAGATACAAAACTGGTTAATGTCTTACAGGGCAATAAAACTGTAACCTTTGGAGTTATCTTTTTTATAGGACTAAAATCATTTGCATCTCTATCAGACAAAATTAATATGCAATGACATTGAACAAGAATTATTTGCATTTCTGACATTTTTCTAAGGTTAATAATGCATCAGGGAACCCAAACAGCATGAGTGACAACCAGTTGTTGAGTCACTCAGCAAACAGTTCAGGGAGGCCTACAGTGTTCCCAGGACTGTTCCCAGAGTTGAGGATACCACAGAGTTTGTTTTGTTCTCTACCCTCATGAAGGTCAAAATCACCTGGTCTAGTTGCACATCCCTTGCTCCAGCTGCCTTTGCCACACCTGGGGAGAGCCTGGCCCTGTACATACCCTTCTCTCATGTGCAGCGGAAGGATGCCCCCGGTATCTGGCAATCCACATTCAGACTATAGGGAGACCAGAACGTGCTTATTCTATATTCTTTTTCAAGAGTATCCATAGAAGCTAATTAAATAAGTCAGTTATACAATTTTGTCTTAGATATAAACAAATTCCGTTAAAGAGAATTCATCTCATAATATTATTTCAAAACCTGGCTATGTTTGTTCTGAGTATTGTCTTTGATGTAGGATAACCTGGTTCTGAGGAAAAGGTTTACTGAAAAGAGTTCATTTGCCTTTACTCTTCATTTCACTCAGTTTTAAGTTTCTTCAGCTTAAAAGAATTAAAGAGACAAAGTGATCACATTTCTGTATTCTCCTATTCCCTAAGAGGCATTTTGTATTTGGCATCTTCCATCACTCTTGCATTTTATAGATTTTTTGGATGTTCTACAAATGTATAGTTTCTGCTTTGGTTCGACATTATCTTAAGTAAATATGGGTGTGTGCCTTTCTTTATGACTCTCAAATAGTGTTTTCTGTTTTGGAGAATTTATTACATGCCTGCTTTCTGTAATGGACCACTCATTGGCCACTTACTGAAGTGTATCCTGCCATTAGTGGTTTTGTCATATAAAGCATAATTGAATGTGCTTTATTGAAATCCTGTAGCATAATTCAGTTATCCTGGTTTCTGTGGAGTGCTTGGCTATATTGGCTCCTATTCTTTTTAGCAGCTTGAGTCTCACCATTGAGTTTGGCATGTTTTATTTCTCCCAGCGTTCAAGAAAATATCTTCATTCTGTGAAGGTAATTTGATCATAGAGTTTAGTTCTACTTTAATTGCGTGTATGAACCAAATATTGATGGGCTGTATCATTTGGTAGATGAAGTAAATGAATATTTATGCAGATATAATTATTCATCATGAAGATATCTCTTTCTGAAAATGTTAAAATGCGTGTTGACCATCTATAAATTATAGATGAATACATTTTCAGTTAGAAAGTCTTGGTATTTCATGTATTTTTTAAAGAGTAAAATCTGTAACTTCTACAATTGAAGAAAAAGTTTAAATAATTGTAGAATTCATACAATGCATAGTTTTTACTTTTACATTTATTTTAGAAATGTCTTTCATTTGAATTTTCTGGTTAGTAACAAAATTAAGCTCCCACAATGTAAAGAAAATACAGACAACGGACTTTCTCACCAGAGAAAGAAATGCATTCTTTTAGGTAGGTCAACAGTCTTAAAAACTTGCTTTTACATTCCTGTTTTTCTGCATTAGTGGGTTTATATCACAGAGTCACTTTTCTATAATAACATAAGCATAAAAGAATACATTGTATTTGTTTTACAGTCCTCTGATATGAATGAAGTTTGAGTTCGGTACAGTCTAAATATTTCCAGACTATCTTTTTATGCTTTTTGTCATTGAAGGACTAGCACTATACAGAAACATTTAACCCTTCTCTCAAATTTTGCATCTTCAGAGGCAAGGAACTGCTCCACCTCCAATGAAACTGCCTCCTCCTTATAAAGCTCTACCTGACGACAGTGATGAAAATGAAGAAGAAGATGCCTTTACTGACCGTGAGTGCCTTTTCACTATTTAGGGTAGATGCAGAACTTATTAAATTTTGTTTTAATGACTGTTGTAAATTATCAGATATAGGGCTGTGAGTTCTTCAAAAATGTGCATGAACATAGGCTAAAAAAGAAAATCTATACCTTTGCAGCTTTTGTGGTCATTTCCTAAGCTTTTCCCTTTGACAGTGAGAAAGGGAGTGTTGAAGGAAGCTATGTTGTACGCTGTTTTCCCTATATTTTCCTCTAATATTATTGTTTGGTTGTGAATACAAAAATGTTCCGGGTCCCTGAAATTAGAATTTGACCCATAATAATCTGGGTTGGATGCAGATTTCAGCTGTTGATTACTTGTCTTATTCAAAGTGATGTTGCTAATGCAGAATTACAGAAGGCCCACCAACTTATATTTTGTCCTTTAAAATTCATTTCATGATTTTCTTTTGCATTAGCTGAATCAGATATACATTCATACATATATTTAATTGTGGCTATATTTAAAATAATTTGCATTTCTTTTATGTATGTATAGTATGTACTATTGCTAATGTATACCATATTTCTTTTGGAGGTGATGAAATGTTCTAAAATTAGATAGTGGTGATGGTTGCACAGTTTGTGAATATACTAAAAATCACTGACTTATACAATGCAAATGGGTGAATTTTATAGTATGTGAAACATGTTTCCTTAACAGAATGTTTTCCCATCTACAATGTAGAAAAGGAATTCAATGTCAAAATTGAAAGAGTCAAAATTCTTACTCTAGCAGTTTCTAGAGTGTGACCTTAAATATGCCCTCTTCTGTAAAAAGGGTACAATAATGATACCTACTTCATAGGGTTGTAATGAGGAGTAAAATAAAGCAGTGAAGCCTTTAGCCTGCCACATAGTGAGTCTTTGATAAGTATTATAGCTCCTATTATGGTTATAATAATTTATATTTTTCTTAATATAACAAATACATAAATAGCAATAACATATAAAATAAATGTAACTTTATAATAATTAAATTTGTTTTATAAAAACTTGAATTGCACTTTGCAATTTTATGAAGCCCTTTCTCTTGTGTCATTTTCTTCATGTATTCAGTAAATCTTTGTTGAATACCATCTGCGTTTCAGTAACAGTGTTGGGTCTGCTATGAAATGAATAACATCTCCCTCCTTTTGTCTTGATGGAGCCACCAGCCTGGAAGGGATAATGCGAAGGCATGGGAACAAAATGTGCTAAGTGTCCTGTCGGCTTCAGTTCTCAGCCTCTTTTTGGAGAGCTACACAGGGTGTATACAGTAGATATGTGTGTGCACATGTGTAATATATCTCCTTGTTCTGCTATAGATATCAGGGCAGCTGCAGCAGAATGGAGCTGAGCTGTTATTACTCATATCACTTTCTGGTTTGCTAGATGGCCAGTATTTACCCAGTTATTAGGAAACCTGTTTGAGGTGTGCACCTAAAACTATGTTTTAATCCTGGCTCTACTACTTGCTAGTTGTGAGTTTTTGGACAAGTTATTTAACATCTTCATGGTTCACACTTGCTTATCTATATGGGGCTGAATGAATATCTTATCATAATTTTTTCATAAGGTCGTTGTGACAATTAAGAAAGAGCATTTGAAGAGCTTAGTATAGGCAGTGTGATACCTAGTAAATGAGCTGGTTTACCACGTACCAGGCACTGTTTTAAAGCCTTTGTGGGTATTATTAACTTAGTCAACATACTAACTTTGTAAGGTTCTAATTATACAAATAAAAGCTCAGAGAAATTACAGAATGTGTTCAAAGTCAGATAGCTAACAAATAGTAGAAATGGGGTTCAAACCCATGTACTACTCCAGAGCCTATAATGTCATCAACCCTTGCTGTTACTTGAAACTCATTATGGTTGCAGAAATAGGTACAGCTGGGCACGGTGGCTCACGCCCGTAATCTCAGCACTTTGGGAGGCCAAGGCAGACTGATCACCTGAGGTCAGGAGTTCAAGACCAGACTGAGCAGCATGGTGAAACACCCTTCTCAAGAAAGAAAGAAAGAGAGAGGGAGAAAGAGGGAGAGAGGGAGAAAGAGAGGAGGGAGAAAAGAAGGGCAGGAGAGAAGAGAAAAAAAGAAAAGAAAAGAAAATCAAAGAAAAGAAGGCCAGGCGTGGTGACTCACGCCTGTAATTCTAGCACTTTGGGAGGCCAAGGCAGGTGGAACATGAGGTCAGGAGTTTGAGACCAGCTTGGCCAACATAGTGAAACCCTGTCTCTACTAAAAATACAATAATTAGCTAGGCATGGTAGGGCATACCTGTAGTCACAGCTACCCGGGAGGTGGAGGCAGGAGAATCACTTGAACCTGTGAGGCAGAGGACGCTGTGGTGAGCCAAGATCGCACCACTGTACTCCAGCCTGGGCAACAGAGCCAGACTCCGTCTCCAAAAAAAAGAAAAAGAAATAGGGACAAAGTAATTTGGAGTTCTCTTGTAAATAACACTTTTATGCCTAAAATAGGCAGACTCAGCAGTGTCCTTCCCAAAGTTACAAGCTCATGTGCATAGGCACATATACACAGCAGCAGTGGGGTCAGGAGGGACACTAATTTACCTTAAATGCAGAAAAAGATTTCTAATACGCAACCATCCTTGAGCTATAATATACATTTCACAGATTCTCTAGCAGACCTATTTTGGCGTGTATATTACTTTTCATTCATTTTGCTTCCTAATTTTTTTCCTTCCAAGTGTACAGTCCCTTCCCATTTACATCCTATTAAATTTACTGTTAACTTCTCCAGAAGAGTTTGAATTGTATGGAGGTATTTGTTAGGTAATTCACATTTTTTTTTTTTTTTTTGAGACGGAGTTTCGCTCTTGTTACCCAGGCTGGAGTGCAATGGCGCGATTTCGGCTCACGGCAACCTCCGCCTCCTGGGTTCAGGCAATTCTCCTGCCTCAGCCTCCTGAGTAGCTGGGATTACAGACACGCGCCACCATGCCCAGCTGATTTTTTGTATTTTTAGTAGAGACGGGGTTTCACCATGTTGACCAGGATGGTCTCGATCTCTTGACCTCGTGATCCACCCACCTCGGCCTCCCAAAGTGCTGGGATTACAGGCTTGAGCCACCGCGCCCGGCGGTAATTCACATTTCAAATGCACGTGAGCCTGAAGCCTCTGGCCTTCCTATATTTCCTTTTGAAATAGATCCCATGGGTTTTTCTTTGTTCCTTGACTCATGTTAAATAAACACTGCTCATCTGCTCTAAACTAAAAGTATTTGGGGTTGATGTTTTATCAAATTCTTGTCCAAAGACTAAGTCTTTATTTTCACAGTGATGACAGTAAGACTACATGACTTTCCCAAGGATCATGATTCTGAAGCGGATGGCTGCAATTTAAATCGCAGGCCTACAGGGAAGTGCCGATTTTGTTAGAAGGGTCAGAGAGATGAGATGCACATGGTTTTTTTGTTGTTTTTGAGATGGGGTCTTGCTCTGTCACCCAGGCTGGAGTGCATTGGCACAGTCGTGGCTCACTACAGCCTCAGTTTTTCAAGTAGCTGGTACCACAGGCATATGCCACCAGGACTGGCTAATTTTTTTTTTTTAATTTTTTGTAGAGATGGAATCTTGCTGTTTTGCCCAGGCTGGTCTCAAGCTCTTGGGCTCAAACTCTCCTTCCCAAAGTGCTGGGATTATGGGTGTAAGCCATCACGCCCTAGTCTAAAGCATGTTAAGAGCTGGCTTTGGTAGTTATTTAATTGTAAAGTTTATTCCGACAAGAAATGTTGAGTGGACGTTATGCGTGGGGAGACACTGTTCTAGGTGTTGAGAATATGGCGGGGAACATGGCTGTTGCTCTCATTAGCTTAGATTCTAGTGGGGGAGAAAGATTATAAACAATCAGAGTTTAAATAGTGACAAGGACTATGAATAAAATATAATATAAAATATGATTTAGATATTAATTAAAATATTAAAAATATTTAAATATTTAAATATTTAAATCATATTTAAAAATATGATTTAGATATTAATTAAAATATTAAAAACAAATTCATTTAAATTTTTAATGTTAAAATTAATATTAAAAATGGTCAAAATCAATTTTAAAACAAAAATTAAAAATCAAACCGAAACATGGTAGCATGAGAATAAGTGCATCGGAGGAAATGATAAGTAGAATGGTTAAGAAAGGCCCAAATAGGCTGGGTGTAGCGACTCACACCTGTAATCCCAGAACTTCGGGAGGCTAAGGCAGGCGGATCGCTTGAGTCCAGGAGTTTAAGACCAGCCTGGGCAACGTGGCAAAACCCATCTCTACAAAAGTTACAGAAAATTAACTGGGGGTGGTGGCGAACACCTATAGTCCTGCCTACTTGGAAGGCTGAGGTGAGAGGATCGCTTGAGCCTGGGAGGTGGAAGTTGAGTGAGCCAAAATCATACCACTGCCCTCCAGGCTGGATGACAGATTGAGACGCTGTCTCAGAAATAAAACCTAAATGAAAACGGAGCCACACTGCAAAGATCCCATAGGTCAGGGATTTTTTTGAGACTGTGACCCACATTAAAATACACTTAACCAATATAGATGCACACACACACAGAGGAATATGCATGTATAACTGAAACAAAAGTTTCATGACATATTACTTACCTTTATAATGTATGAATCTTACTCTTTTTTTATTTTATTCTATTTCATATTTTTAAATGCTGATTGCAAGTCAGTATATTTTATGACTAACCAACAAGTTTGCAACCTGCAATTTGAAAAATGCTAATTTCGATCCATGGCTTTCAAACTTCATTGTGCATCAGGATGTTCTGGAAAGCTGGTTAAAACAATAATTGACAGTCATGATATGTCCTGCCCCCTAACCTCAGCCCCTTCTGATTGCTTAAGCCTGGAACTGATCATTTGCATTTATAATTAGTTTCCAAGTGATGCTAGTATTATATTTCTGAACCAGAGACCACACTCCGATCGAAATGGTGTTTAAAAGCCACGGGAGCCCACAAGT